TAATGATGACAATTTGAATAAATAGAAATGCTGATTTCATACTAGGGTTTCTGAAGGTCTGACCTGTATTAAATGTCAAGAAAAGTTACTATCACAAATTTCCAAATAGTTTCTTCTCACTTTTTTCAGTAGTATTTTTCAGTAATACAAAGTTACGCTTTGTGCAGCAAAATGGGGTTTTTTGGTTCGGTTTTGAGTTAATTTTTTTTTTTTTTAAATGAGATTTTATAATGTGTCCTAAACATTAAGTATTCAGACACACAGACGCAGAGCACTTTGAATGACCCAGCAAGCTAGGGGGTGTTGCAATTTAGGAATGGTGCTCCTCACTTTAATGCTCCAACTGAGACTAAAATCACATGCTTCTTGCTTGCTCCCCTCCTCCCCTTCCCTTGCTGTGGGCTGGAGAGTAGGAGGCACAAAAGGGAAGGATGGTGCGTTGAGATAAGAACAATTTACTAGAAACAGCAATGAGATAAGAAAATGAACAGTTACAGTGACAGTACTAATAACTAAAGTGTACAAAAGAGAGTGATTCACATGCAAAAAATACTCACCCATACTCACCTGCTACTCTGGCTTGAAACCAGCATTACCCAACCTATTGTCTGCTCAACCAGAAGAACCCTTTCTCCTCAGAAGGGTCCTCTTCCCTCCACACACCTGGCAATGACATGAAGTGGTGTAGGATAGCCTCTATACCAGCCATGTGTCCCCTGGCTACTGCAAAAATTAACCCTGTCCTGGCCAGGAGGAAATGAAGTAAATCAACATTTTTCTTATAATCTCTGAAATCAATGTAAACTTGTAGGGTTTTTGTTTATTTTGTCTGGGGTTTTTTTTGTTTGGTTGGTTTTTTGGTTTTGTTTTTTTTCAGACATAGCCTTTTAAGAAGTCCTGTGACACTAGGGCCTTGTAGGAGTAGGCTGTGAGTGTGTCTTTTTTGAAATTGCTTCAGTGATGGACTTCAGCTATCTTTGTATTGGAGTTTAAAGGCTTTACAGGGTCAAAACTTGCAGGCATAAACAAGGCTGGAATGGACACTTAGAATAACCGGAATTCTAGCTGGGACTGGACAGACGATGTGCGGCAAAGGGAAAGGACGCTTGCCTTATAATGTATACAACATTTATTTCCATAAAGGCTTTGAAAAACTTGGAGGGCAAATTGTGTGGGAAGGATGACACTTTGCTGTCAGTGCCTGTAGTGTAATTAGAGTATCTGTAATCAATAGACCATGTAGTTCATGTGACAGACTGTCCGGTGGGCAGATCCTCTGCTGCAGGAGCAGATGTGAGCTAATGGTATAACTCTGGGAACTGCCTACAGGTTCCTTCTGGAAATTTTCCTCACAAGGACTGATTTCTGACTTTTTTTATTTTTTTCTCACTCATGATTCCAGCACAGTAGTTCCTGTAGGCAAAGCTAGGAAAAAATGGGGCAGAATACCTGAAGAAGGTTGTGAACCTGGGTTCAGACAGGCTGGTGAGCATCCCTTGCAGTGGCACTGGCCACTGCAAGTAGAGAGCTTGTTACACATTTGAGGCTCTTGTTACTTTTGTAAATTGGTTCCAGAAGAAGAGTTGGTATTGAGTAGGCACTGGGTGAATGAAAAGGAATTTGTTTTCAGTTCAGGAGTGTTCAGCAATGACAACTGGAAGAGCTCTCAGTAGGAAGGGGCTTGTATTAGTCTTAGGGGTAATTTTATTCGGTTGAAAATGTGCTTTCAATGGGAAATGTTTATGGATACCTGTTCTTTACAGCATATTTTAGCAATATGACTGCTAGCTTTAGCTTTAAAAGGCAAGTAGAAAATCAAATGGAGTATGAGTTTCAAGTTAGCATTCATTGTAGTTGAAAAATTGTCATTATTTATTTTACAACATCACAAAGGTACCTTCCTCCTGACAGCTCTGTGGGTCTCCTTCGCTTTCAGAATTTAAGGCTGCCGTGTGTGGAGTGCTTTACACATTTTGTGCAGTGAATATTTCTTTTTCTCTTAAAACATTTGTCAAGAATCTCAAAATTCAGTATTGTTGTTTCAGATAATTTTAGGCATTAAATATTGAAGTACTATTAAGTAGTGGTACAAAAAGCAGTGTTACAAAATTTTATTTTCAAATGTTTAGAATCCTCTAGGAGGGTTTAATTAAAAATGCCATACACTTAGTGAAAATCCATTTAAGTTCCGCAATTGATTTTTTTATTATTTTTTCCCTTTAGAAAGGAAAGCTGTGAGTTCTCTTGTATGGGGTAAATGTCACTCTGTTTATATCTTAGCTTTGCTGCAAGTCAGGACTGGTACTATTCCTCTGAGTTGTCATAGAAACGCAGCTAACTGACATCTCAACTCAGGCTGCTCATGGTTTAATTTGTGGGTTTTCAAGATTATTAAAATTTAACAAAAATTATTGATTTGCTTTTATTAACACTGGCTTGTGTTTACTTTAGAAGTTCAAACTGCATAAAAGCTTTTTATTATAGAAAAATACCTTTAAAATTATTAAACCCTGATACTCTAAATAAGAGATCGTCAAATGCATTTAATATATCAAAGTCTGAAGCTGTAGACAAATTTTGAATTTTTGCAAATCACCTTTTTATTTCATTTTGTTTACAGTAAAGTGCCCCAACCTCATTTCAATTCACCTTTTAGCTTGACTTTTATTTAACATAGAAGATACCTGTCAAGAAAGCGTGAAATAGGTACATCATCATGCCTAATATTTGGGAGTTTTTATTTTATTTACTTACTTTGAAGCCTGGCAGAATGCTTCGGTGCACTGACTTTTGAAAGTATATATTTTTTGTATATGTGTGTGCAGAAAAAATTACTTAGTTTTCACTCATAAATAAGACAGGCAAAACTTATTTACAGTAACTTTATCTAATGGTCCATGGATGAATGATTTTATGCAAACTACTCAAGAGACTAGAATTAACTTTTCATGTTGGTTGCACATTGGATGTCCAGGCCCCAGCAACATGTGGGATCTTATAAAAACTAGATGACTGGAGTTCAGTTTTTACTTTTATGAATTTATTCAATGACTGCCCATGCATTTCAAGTGTAATCTTTGTAAGCAATGTATAAAGTGCAGTAATGTATTAATTGTTATAAAATGGGCACATACTTCCTTACACCCTCCTTCCATCACATGTATGCTTTTTACTTTGACTTTACCGCCTCCCTCTACCTTGTAGCCATTTATTAACGATCTGTAGGCATGAGGAATTTGACTGATTTATATACAGACCTGTAATTTGACATTGTCATTCTGTCTAGTAACAACTTTGTTCAGTGTTAGATTTACTGAATAAAATTGTTTCTTGGTGGACATTTTGACACCTCACTTCATCCTCCTACGTCATGTGCTGCTGACATCCCTGTATTAATCTCATTTGTATTCTGTCATAAAACTCTCACGTAACATTTTAAAACTGACTCTCTTTGCAGTGTATTTCTGTAAGCATGGGGCTAAATATTGGATGTTTCTATAGGTATATATGGCTTTTTTTATGTTTTGTATGAGGTTATGTTCATGTTTCCATGTACGATGGTAGCACACATGGTAAACGGCCATACTCTTTAACTTGGGAAAGGCTGGCTTGAGTACTGAAAAGGCAATTTAAACAAAATGCATTTTATTAACCTGTTAACATGTCTCTCTTCCAAATTTATTTTTTGCATCATTGACTACAAGAAAGTGTTGCACAAATATAGTTCTGCTGTAGGCTGACACTGTGTATTTTTAGGAATTGGAAGGCAGTGGTTAGTGGGAAGTCAGGGCACTCCTTTAACTAGAGCACTGCACTGGTGTATTCTGGTTGCTTAAGAATAAAATATATGTTTTATATGGGAGACATACTCAGTGTTGATATATTCATTACAGTCAATAGCAAGTGTAGGAGAGTATTATTGCAGGTATACTGTTTTCCAGTGAGGACCAAGGGATATAGAAGGGTTTGTGTATGTCTGTGCGTGTATAAGATTAAGTGAGACTTACTGAAGCCTGTGGAATCTCTCTGGCATTGTACTTCTGTAGACTGTCTGTTACAGATAGATGCCTGTGGCCAAAGAGCTAATTTGCAACTGGGATTTTCTTTTCCTAAAAGATAAACATGTTGGGTCTTCTTCGAGCAATAAATTTCTGCTTGCTTGTTTTTGGGTTTTTTTTAGCTTGGTTTCCTTTCTCTTCACTATTTGCCCCGTGATCTTTCCTTGCATTTAAGTAGTGATTGGGTGATAATACCTAATGTGCTTGAAAAGAAAGAGAGGAAAGCTTCAGTATTGACCAGGAAAAGATCCTAACATGCAGAAGATAATGGTGATTCATAGGAATATACTGTGTCCTGATCCTTTTCCCAGAAAACATATTTATAGTATTTTTTTTTACCATAAGCCCATTGGTGGTTTTGATACAATTAACTTATTCCTAGTGGATTCTTCTTATTTTTGTTCGCAGCATTTTGCCTCTATCCTTGCTACAGAGGTGCAGCATCTTGTAAAGGTCATGAAGTTTCTTGTAATGTGCATGCTTCAGCTTTCAGTTCATTGTGGCTACAGTGGCACACTTTATTTTATCATCATTCAGTATCATATACATTCTTTTTGTATTTTACTTCTAAATTGCAAATTACTAACTTTATGTAACAAAGTACACATGCACATTTTTTCCTGCTTTTTAGATATCAAGTAAGTGCCTCTTACAGCTGAATTGACATGCTGCTATACAGTCTTTGCACCCAGAACTTTGGAGTAAAAAGAAAAACCAGTAACAAAATAGCACAGCCCAAACCCCTTCAGATGATTAAACTGTGAAAGTTTGGCTTTTGATTGTAATGGCTTTTGTGAAGAGATCGCAGTGATCCATCTTCGCCTGTTGCTATGTGATAGTTTTGGGATATCTTTTAGTTTGTTTTTATCTAAAATAAACTTCTAAATATTTTTGTTGTTTTTTCTCTCTTCCTCCCTTTTTCTTATGCTCCTAAAAATTTAGGAAGATGAGAGTGAAGAAGAACCTAAGCTCAAGTATGAACGGCTTTCTAATGGAGTGACTGAAATTCTCCAGAAGGACGCAGCCAGCTGCATGACAGTGCATGAAAAGGTATGATGTGACTTTGTGGCTGAGATAGCACTTCTGCCTGGTTTTATATATCTGTCTGTGCTTATAATGCATCAGTATATTTCCGTGTAGAAGTGATGCCTTGCACTGCAAGGCAACAGTAACGTAAACAAAATTCACCATTAACACAGGTTAATTGAACAATCCATGTTTTCTCAGTGATAAAACAAATAGTTCACATAGTTCAATTAACAGCAGATCTCTCAGAATCAATTGCCTTCTTGTTTGTATCAAGCATTTTTTCAGTGAGAAATGCGTTTTCTCAATGAGGAGATGAGGTGAGAATTCAAGATGCAGTGATTTGTTAGATGAGATGTTTACATAAGCTTCTAGAAAACTGCTCACTCAGTTTTAATTATGAGCAGTATTATGAACTGAAATCAGAATACAGTCCTAATTTTTCTTTGTTCAGAAAGGAAGTTGGTATATACTGTGCTTCTTTGTATAGCCTATGTCAGTAAAGACCAACTTGATCATGCCAGGAGCTCAGCATATATTCAGCTGTGGAAAACAAGTGAATACAGTGGAGAAGAAAGTAATTACTGTATTTTTTATTTGCTTAGGTTTTTCTTTTGGAGGGTGTCATACTAACACTTTCCTGCCCCCTTCCCTGATTCAGTATGTTAAAAACAGAGAGAGGAACTGCACATGCTAGAGATTTTGATGTACCAGAGAGTGATAGGGGTAAAGTAATAGACAATGCAAACTAAAGAAATTTTAAGAAGAATTAATATTTTATTCTTAAAAGGAATAAACTTCATATTCTTCTTTAGTGACTTAAACAGTTGCTTTTGTATTTTATGAGTTTTCTTCTCTTTTATAAATATTGAAAAACATTTTTGAATATTGAGGCATGCTGAAGTGCATCTGAAAGTATGAGTTAATGATTTGTCAACTATTGGTATGTAAAACATAGTAGCTATTTTCTGAATGTATAATTTTTCATAGCTGGTAATATCTCCTAAACAGTTATTGTTGAGGGATCTATCTTTATTGTTTGGCTATATTTTTAGATTGCTTGTGTTGTGTTTCTTTTCCTCAGAGGACTGTTGCTATGGCTCAGGAGGCTCTTAAGATGAAGCTTGTATTTTAACTGTGTGAATGAAAACAATAAGTCTTTTTAAAATGTTTTTGACAACCTAGAGTTACACAGATATTTGGAAAATTGGCAAGCATTTCCTCTTTGTTTGTAGCCTGTTTCTGTTACCTTTTATTCCTGCATCTCAGGTAAATTTTAAAAGCCAAGAGTTTAACTGGATTTTTCTATAAGGGTGTGTGCAGATACAGCTTTTACTATAGTGTCACAAAGCATGACAATACAGGAAAACTGTTGAAGTATCCCAGCACTTTTAGTTTTCCAGAAAACTAGTTACACTATTTATGAGAAGAATCAATATTGTTAGCCATATTGTTAGCCAGGTACTGCAGTCTTTTAGGAATAGGTCTCTTCCAGCAGAGAGCTTGAAAATGAAGCTGGGTTATAGGTTGTGCAAGAGTATTTCTGTTTCATTCTGGTTGGGGTTTTTGGGATTTTTTTCCCTGAACGAACAGGAAAAGCTCTACTAATTGCTATAATTAGAAAAATTATACAGTAATATGTAAAATATGGCTCAGACTAAAGCAGTTTAACTTTGCTGGGAATCCTGAGATCTGGCTTCTGCATTCAGACTAATTTCCCCCCAGATTTTTTTTTTTTTTTCATTTTTGCTGCTAAAGCATCATATTTTCACCAGGCTTGCTGTCTACACTGGATGACTAATCGTCATGGCACCTGGTGCATTCAAGCAGGCCTGTGCAGTGGAATAGTCATACCTAGTTATGTCTGCACACCTGATGTTTTATTAACCAGTATTGATTTTTTTACCCGGGGGACTTTTTTCTTCCTGAAAAAAGGCAACCTTGCAGGAGTGAAAGGCATTGCAGGGAATGAATTTCTAATGAACCCCTTCTTTCCCTTTCTTGACTCCTTTTAATGTAGCTTCATATTTTAAGTGCCTGAACTGAAATTTCATTTTAAGCAATTCCATTTTGATAAATCCTTTTAAACCTTGACTTTCTGTAAGGTTATTTTTTAAAGATTGTGCTGCCTGACTGACACGCTTAGCAGTGCCTGTAAATTTGAGCATTTCATTATAGGTTGCAATGAAGCATGCTCACATGCAGTGAAATACAGAGAATTGAGTAGCCTAGACTATTTCAGTAATGCTGAAAGTGGGAGGGTGGGGGAGGGGGCAAATAAAAGAAACCTCTGTCATAAATCAAGTAGTACTGAAATTCTGTCTTTTCTGTTTAGGTGTAGTTCACATGGTTCAATTAACAGCAGATCTCTCGGAATCAATTCCCTTCTTGTTTGTATCAAAATAAGTTTGAGATAGTATGGATTTAGGTGGAGATTTATTTATTTAGCTACTAGTTTTTAGAATAAAACTCCAGAGATTTCCAAGGAAGTGTATTTGTCGTGGGAGTATTCTATTTAGGAATGTTACTATGTGAAGGAAAGCAAAGATAACAGGAGTTATCTGTGTGCTTAAATGTACTGTCAGAGACCTTCCATAATTCAGCTGTATTTTACCAGTGGCTTACAGCTGGCCTTTTGCTATGTTTGAACACTTTGTTTTTATTTTGATAATGAAGGAGAATTAAAAATAAGGCTCAAAGGAAACATTAGGATTGAAGCAAAGCTGCAGAAAGGATCTAGGAGCTATTTCAGATCTCTGTTGGTTCCTGCTCTCACGCTGCATTTTTAATTTGCTGCCACAGTCCATCAGCTGGTGTGTACAGACTGCGGACACACCATTAGTTGTCAGTGGATGAGGGTCCTCATGACTCATTCTGACAGCTAACTTGCACTATCACAGTAATATGGGCTTGAAGCCCTCCCTGTTTTATTCTGTGGGTACAGTTAAAATAACCTTTCTCTATAGAAAGTGGTGGGCTTTTTTCATTTCCCCAGTGTTGCTGGTATTCATTTAGCATTGCTGTAGTATTTCTTGTGGTGTCTTTGTGTTTATGTAATCAATCTCTTTCTTTCACAGTTTTTGGCACTGGGAACACATTATGGCAAAGTTTATTTACTTGATGTCCAGGGGAACATCACACAGAAGTTTGATGTTGTAAGTATGACATTATTCAGAGCCCATTTACAGGAATGTAAAACTGCTGTGATGTACTGATAAGTCAGTTAACACTCTTGTTACACCCGCAATTACACTAACACATTCCATAACATAAAAAACAGTGTATGGGCCTTGCGAAAAGAAGTTACTCTGCATGATTTTGTGGTGAGCACATCTCAGTTTATATATAATAAACTTCTTCATGAAGCAGAAGAGGAAATATGTATTTATGATTGCAAGTGGCTATTAAAAATGGAACCCAAAAGCTCATTACTCCCAGAAGGCAAGAACCTGTTCATTAGGTGACTATTGTCAATTATTAGTTCATGCGTTATCATCTTATCTAGTTGCCACAAGTAATTGAAAAGTGATTGATTACCTTGCTGGCTCAGTTTGTCAATTACAAGTATATAATGCTAATATTTTATGTAAATGTTTTGAAGTTTGAATTATTAAGGGATTGTATTGATTGAAGTAAAAGAAGCCCTTTTCCTTATTGTGGTTCATGGTATGACAGGAATAACATGCTAAATTTAAAGCTCTGTTCTAGAGTATTAAATGTTCCTTTTTATTGTGGATATTAGTTCATTAGTTTCAAATTCCCTGTTTTTCTTGGGGAGTGGAAGGAAGAGAACTAATGATTTTTTTTTCTCCTCAGGTCATCAAAAATTCTAGTAGCCAAGCATTCTTTTTTCATAGCAGTGTAAGCATTAGCCATAGAAACCACTGCAAGATGTGGACGTGTTTTGCAAAGAGAATATACATTCTAAAGCTGACACAGATGCATGGAAGGGGTCAAGTGTTTGTTTATATTTTTGAAAAACCCAATTATTAATTGTGAAAGGGAGTAGGGGAGTATAAACTTAAGGCAAAGCTCTTGAAGGAATTTCTAGATTTAATTTTAGTCAGATTGACAATGACCTTACGGGCGATTGATTAAAGTCAAGCTAATTATGTGCTTCTGTTTCTTTTAATTTTGTATGATCATCAGCCCTGCAGCTGACAATGCTGACTGCATTTCAAAAGAGGAAAAGCTTTTGGTGTCTCCCTTGCAGTCCTGATTGCTTTACATGCATGCTTCTTGGTAGAGTTTCTCTGGGAAGTAGGATAAACTCTCTATTTGAGGCAGGTCAGATTAAATGTGTCTTCCATTGCTGCAGTAGAAGACAGAGTAAGAGACTCACTCAAATGAAGTGCAGATTTTGTATTGAGTCTAGCATTAACTGTCCTGAACTTGTATTTGTTCCATTCAGTGAAAGCAGTGTAAGGTGCTTGGAAAATTTTAGTTCTCAAACAATCTTCTTCTGTCTACCACCAATGCCTTGTTCTCTCACACTAGTTCCAAGAGATGAAATCCTCCTTCTGTAGAGACTTAGGGAACTGCCTAGGTGTAGAGCTAGGAACAAGGGGACCTGCTGAAGTCTGTAAAACAAAATCCCTGCATTCCCTTTATACCCACCCTCCCAAATCTGCTGTTATTTTCTTTGCTTTTCATTACTAAAAAGTCCTTCCAGTGCCTGCTGGGAGGGTGGTTTCTTATGAAGTTAATGTTGGACTATACAGTTATTTTCTGCTCAAAGATGTTACTTTTCCAAACTTGGCCTGCTTCAGGATGATTTTTGTGCTGTATCTTCTTATAAAGATGGCAATGATTTTTTTTTTAAAACTATTGTTAGAATACAAACTGTTTTTCAACAGGATAATAGGAAAAAGAAATGTTTCTTGGATTCTCTTCTTAATGTTTGTATCTCTTTTGTAATGTACATGTCTCCAGTGCAATAGATTATATCATGGATTAGGTGGAAATGGTGCTTCTTTTTCTTTTTATTCCTCTTTTTTCTAGTTTGAGGAAGAGTGATTTTTCTCTAGTACCACTTGTCTTTAAAAGAGAAGTTTTTCGAGGATCTACTAACTGTTGTAGAACAGAACAGGCTGCCTATGTGAGAAGAAAGCAGCTCTGTGATGTACATGGCTGCTTAAGCTGAGAAGTTTCCTGAATTAATAATGTCAGCTGCAGAACCTATAGAGAGTTTATTCTGAACTGGCTGCTGTGCATCAAAATATTTGCCTTCTAACCTGAACTTCTCAGATGTTGGATTTCGGACTAGAGGTATCACTATCAAAACGTTCAGTGGGGTCTTAATTCAGTTCTCTCCTACTAATGCCTCTTTATTGTCCCTCATGGAGAATTTGAAGTATTAAAATTAAAGTATTAAAGTAATTAAATGTTGTAAATCCCAAATAAAACCTAACCATTTCCTGAAAAAAAAGGGAATTACTTCCTGAAGTCACACAGAGGGACAAAGCATTTCTTGTAAATGTGCTGGCAAAGGCTGTTATCACTAGAGGTATTTTTTCGGATTGTTTTACTCTGATCCAAAAAGAACAAATTCCTTCTCAGAACCTTTTTCATTGGTGGAATGTCATATTGTCCTAGTTTAGGGCAAATTAGGGAGGAAAACTCCAAATGGGGATTTCCCCAGGGAAATGCCCCCTCCCCACCAACTGGTCTGGGAAAGGAAAAAAAAAATTCCTTGGAGAGAAGTGGAAAAAGCTGTTTATTTAACAGAAATTGAATAATATTAAATAATAGAACCTCTCGCTGTTCGATGGGATGGCAAGTCTAGGAAGAAAAGTCCTTTTCATGTGGTGTAGCTCGGCTCGCTCAGGTTCTTATCAGTCCCTCCGGCGCTGGAAAGTGCCGAGGCCCAGGCCCCGGTGGGCCACAGGCGTGAGCTCCCGGGGTTTGGCTGGGTGTTCAGTCCAAAGCAGGTTTGCACAGATCCAAGAAAAGGAAAAAAACAAAGGTCCAGGGAACTCCTCTGCCTCAGCTAGCTAAAACTAACTAAAAGCCAGAGAGAAGCTCTGTCCCGCTGTCTGTCCGTGCTGCAGACACCACAGTCCAGGAGCGAGATGTGTGGGAGTGATGTTTTTCTTTAACACAAACTGCGCGCTTCTTCTTCCCCCTCTCTTGCTCTCAAAGCCAGTCTTAAAGGTGCAGAACTTAATGTATAACATAAACCAGACGACTGGGGATACCAGTATCATAAAGTCACCCCAGGACACATGTATAGTTCTATCTTGAAGTTGTTAATAGGAGAAGTATCTGTTGTTACTGATTATTGGAAATAAGAATATAGAATTTTGTATTTATTTTGTACATAGAATTTTCTGTATACAATTTTTTCTGAGTAAAATACTGAAATATTTTAATTGTTTTCAGTAAACAGTGTACCTGGAGAGTTTCTTTCATGTATTTTTCTTTTTGAAAGGATGTTTCAGCAGATATTTTCTGTCTTGTGACATTGCAGAAATTAATAGTAAGGATAACAATGTGATTCCCTATGTGCAAAAGAAATCAGTTACATAATTCAAGAAACTGATGCTGAATCCTATGCCAAGTGGACAACTAGTCTCTTCAGGCTTGCAACTCCTCTTGTCAACAACAGTGGAAATGTGTGCTTTGAAACTGTTGTGAGATATTTGTGATTTGGGGGGAATTGACACAGGAATTGGAAGGCTTTGCCCTTTTGTGTTGCTTGGTATCTCAGCAGTTGTGCTTGTGTTCTTATCCCTCTCTCCTCTTCACCTAGCATTTCTGTAGCTCTTGCCAGGGTGGCTTGTCTTTGACAATGTCAGCTGCCTAAGATTAACTGGTATGCATCCTCAGTAACATATGTTTGACAAACTGGTGTTCTCTTGTATTAGGGTTCAGTGCATTGAGTGAAATGAAATGTGTCAAATGCACTGAAAATTATTACTAAAAGGCAACAAGAAGAGGGAAGAAAAGCCTGCTAATTCCACTGACAAAGGATGATGCAGGGCTGATTCACAGCACGTTAATTCCAAATGTCTCTCCATCTTTCTTTCCTTCTTAGACTGTCTACAATTTATTAATATAATTATTGCCTGAGCTGACATCCTTTGGATTAAGAATTTGTAGATATGGAGAAAGCTGTACAAACATGTTTAGTTACATAACAAATCAAAAAGCTTTCAAAGGGCGAGAAAACCTGTCCCCATTCTGGTCTTCTAATAGACATCAAGCTTAAAGCAAAAGTGGTAAGAAGTCTTGGATGGTGCCAGTGATAGTCTTTTAGAAGGGGAAAGATGGCCTATTTTATAAGTAACGAGGATTTAAAGGTGAAGGTGTTTCAGTGGTGATGCATGAGTCTAGAAAATGATGTAGTGTTTTAAAGCTTCTCTTAGTACAAAGAAATTTAAGTCTTTTTAACATTCAACATTTGTGAGCTATTTGTGACTGTTAGAGTTTCAGAAGGATATGTTCTCATAGCATCTCTTTTTACGATGTTTTTCTTTCCTTGCATCATGTTTTTTTCTTGATTGTCACACCTTGTATAGCACTGTTTAATTATGGGGTTTTAATTGGAGTGACAGTAATCCAAAATCACTACGTCATCTCTGCTACTTTGAAAACTTGAAAGGGAGTTCCTTTTGTGGTGGTATTATTGCCCTTGGGTGTATTGAAGTTACAGCACTCACCAGCCTCTGGAGCAAGACCTTGCTTGAAGGTCAGTCTGTGGCCTTTTGGTTTTGCTGATAACTCAGCAGGTTACAAAGAAAACATCAGAGGTTTCAGTTGACTTGATGTCTCTTGGCAAGAGTTTATTTTTTAACAAGAAAAAAATATTTCTAACAAAGAAACAGTTGTTCTTAAGCACTAAGCGCTGCTGATAGTAATGATGCAAAACCTACTAACTGGTGTGGGAGATTATGCAACATCTCTCAATGGGCAAGGTAACTTAGTTTTTCATTGCATAATGAAGAAATTGCTTTGGATGGAACTTTGCATGAGAGTTTGAGGCTAAGATGATATAAATGTCACTTACTTTGACAGACTACTTAAAATTCCCTGTTTATTACCTGATCTACATCATTTTAGATGTTGGTGTCAAGCTATGTAAGAAAATTTAGTCAGGAAGTAAAGCAACAGAATTTAAAGATCTGGGTAGCTCTGTGTTAGTATTTGCATGGTG